GAATGCCACACAAAACATTTAGTTGTAGTCCTTTTGTTAATTTTTAAAATCTCATTTGATTAATTTAGGATGAATAAATATAATATTCTAAAATTTAATTGCAAAATAAAATAAAAATCAAACCATGGAATGATCTCTTTTTATCTTGAAAATAATTTTTTTTGAAAAGAAATAAAATTAAAGCACCAAATCAAATAGAACAAGTAATTTAAATTAGTTTTTGTATCAAATCAAGTAGAATTTTACTTTGTATCCAACAAGTAATTGAAATTACTATACTATTTGGTATCAATAAGATTTCGTTTAACTTTTTATTTCTGCCTTTTAAAACAATTTATTTTTATTTTAAAATAATATTATTTTAAATAAATGGGATGAATTCGGTTTAATTCACCCCCTTCATAATTTTGGTTTTTGAAACCACGTATTCACCCATTTCTCATAACTTAGGTTTCAAGCTGAGTTATAAACCGGACCGGTTTTTATAACCATGTAAAAAAACACACCCGATTTCTTGTCAACGACACAAATTACTCGCTGCCCCTCTTTCTCTCTCACACACAGAACCATTACGTAAACCCTAATTGATCCCAAACTTCTTCGATTAAACCCTAATTGAATTCCAAATTCTCTCAATCAATCACCAAAATGGACTTATCAGCCACAAAAACGCTCAATTCAGATCCAAAAGAAGCAGACGCCGTTAACAAACAAGCAGAAACGGGAATGGATGCAGCGACGGAGGGAGGACAGCAACAGGGACAACCAAAAGGATCAGATAAGTGGCCGGGATGGCCAGGAGATAATGTATTTAGGTTAATAGTGCCGGTATCGAAAGTAGGAAGTATAATTGGACGGAGAGGAGAGTTGGTAAAGAAGATGTGTGATGAAACACGAGCTCGCATTCGTATTCTTGAAGGTCCCCCTGGTATTTCTGATCGAATTGTAAGTTAAAGTTTACTCTTTGTTTTTTTTTTTTGTTTTGTTTTTTGTTTTTTGTTTTTTTTTTTTTTTTTTTTTTTTGTTTTTTTTTTTTTTTTTTTTTTGCAATTTTAAGCCTTTTTGCTTTTGTGGGTTTTTGGAACTTGCGGGGTTTGGGTGGTAAAGGTAGTGCCTTTTGTGTGAAAGATGGGATTTTTCGTTCTTTTTCTTCCTGAACTGAGAAGGATCAAGATTTGGGGTGCTTTGGGGTACAGGTTGTTGAGTTCTATGTATCTGTTGGCAGTTTGAGTTTTGTTGCAGCTTAAAAGAAATAAGATTGAGCTTTGTTAGATTATGTTAAGAAGAATCGAGCTTGGTGTTATTTTGAGCATTTTTTTTTCCAGTTAAATAGTGAAATCGGTTATGATTTTTTGGTGTTATAATGACAAAATCATGCTGTGGGAAATCTGTTATGAATTGTTAGATATATATATCCCATGTTTACGAGCTTGAATGAGCTGTATTTGGAAGTCTAATGCAGCCAAAATGAAAGCTCCTTAAAGCTGATTACTTTGTTGAATTCAATAGGCCTTGATGGGAAGCTTGGCTCGTTCTACTGTTGATGAATGCATATAGGATTGAAAAGCTCGTAGCTTTAATCTTAGAAGGCAAACCATAAGAGCAGTTGAATTAACTTTTAGAACTGAGTCAAGATTTGGAATGTTGTGTTCAGATTTTGGAATTCATTCTGTTGAATTTGAGATGAAGTTGAACACATCTCTTTTAGTGGCTTTGATTTTTCAAATAAAAAAAACTTACTTAGATTATATTAACAAGGGTTGAGCTTGGTGTTATTTTGAGTTTAATTTTTTTTAATATAAATGAGTTAGTGTAAAAAAACAAAATCATGAAATAGAAAAGTGTATATGAATCATTAAATATATGGCCCATGTTCGTGAGCATGGATGGATGCCATTTGGAAGTTCAATTCAACCCAAATAGAAACTCCATCGTGGGTTCTGTTTGCATGCTATAAGAAGCTGAACTTAGCCTTCATTGTGTTTGCTTGTTGAATTTGAAGTCCCTAAGGGAGGTGTGGGCTGATTCTATCGATGGTGAATGAAATAAGATGGAAAAGATCTGATCTATTTGTAAATAGCCATTATGAGTTGAACAGTATGAATTGTTTATGTTGTAATTTTCTTTGTATTATGTCACAATTCTGCTCCCTGATGGAACTTCTGTGATTGATGTAGATGTTTCTTTTCAGGTTCTGATTTCTGGTAAAGAAGAGCCAGAAGCTCCACAATCTCCTGCAATGGATGCTGTAATGAGAGTGTTCAAGCGTGTGAGTGGTCTATCACCTGGTGAGGGTGACAACACCGGTTCAGCTGCTGCTGCTGCTGGCTCTGCATTTTGTTCCATAAGGTTACTGGTTGCATCTTCACAGGCAATAAACTTAATTGGGAAGCAAGGATCCATAATCAAATCAATACAGGAAAACACTGGTGCAGCTGTGCATGTTATGGCAGAAGGTATGCTTCAAGCAATTATTTTCTTCTTTAATTAAGCAATTATATTTGACCAAGTTGCATTTCCTTGAAAAGTATTTTGAGCTGAAATTATTGAGGTAGTTGTGTGCTGTGCTATCTTTCTATTCCTTGTTAAATATTTACAGCTTCTATTTCAAACTTCGCGATATGTTCCTGTGTGTTGTTCCTCAATTTGTGTTTACCAGTTTTAAGATAGCTTTTAGAATACAGAGTGTCTGTATAGACCCAAAATCTAAGCAACTTCAAGTCCAGTTTTCACTAAAAGATTGTTACAGTTTAATATTATGGTTCCCTGGGCTTGATTTTCTGAGGCCCATTGCTAGGATTGCTGTGTTGGTAACTTCTATATGCACCATTATTTATCCGATCTCTTCTTCTTTTTCATGAACAGTACAAACTCTGATGCTCCTTTTTCCTCGTAGATGAGTTACCTTCATATGCTACTTCAGATGAGAGAATTGTGGAAATACATGGTGAAGCTATGAAGGTTTTTAAAGCATTAGAAGCTGTAATAGGACAGCTAAGGAAGTTCTTGGTTGATCATAGTGTCATTCCTATATTTGAGAAAACTGTAAGTTACACTTTAATGTTACTGGATTATGGTTGTGAGAATTATGAAGTAACCCGAGTTCTTTTGCAGTACAATTCAACAATTTCACAGGAATGCCCTGCAGATGCACGGCCTGATACTGCTCAGCCCTCACTACATTCTGCATATGTTCCCACAATTTCAACTGGGATTGCTTCTGATTATTCCCTATCTTTGAAGCGGGATCCGTCAATATATGAACATGAAACACAATTTGAACACAAAATCTCACAACCTGGATTGTCAATTTATGGACAAGATCCTGGAATTACAGGGTTCCGTTCAACTGGACTTGGTCGCGCTACTGCTCCTATTGTAACTCAGGTTGGTTTAATTATCCAGTTCTTATATTATGGTCCAATATGATTTTGAATTTCTTGGCTTACATTAGGAGCCTGATTGGTTATAGTTCTTCATGACATGCATGCTCGTGTCAAAAAATGTGATGTTTATATTTTCCTGTGTTTTGGCAGCATGCCAAAGACTGGAAAGCCCTCATTATTTTCCTGTGCTTTGGCAGCATGCCTTGGGCTGATTGGTCATGCTTCTTCCTGACATGCACGCTCATGTCTAAAAAAAAGCCTGCCATTTATTTTAGAACATTTCTGGTTCCTAAAAATTTGCTATTAGGAAAATGATTCCCAAATTCCATGCCTCTTCTGCCCCCACTTCTTTGAATTTCATGTTTTTTATTTATATTTCTATGCTCCAGCAGCATGCCCAAGACTGAGAATTTAATTGCAACGGGGAAACTGACAAGACATGCTAGAATGTGGGGCTTAACAGTTCTGTTTTCATTTTTTCTTGTAAGATCTTAGAGCAAGCATAATCTGATCATTTGAAATATCATTTGTTTTTGTCATGGTTTACTTTGCTCTTATATCACGTCTCCATGTTACCTGGGATTGATTGAGAACACTGTTACTATCTAATTCAGGTGACACAGACAATGCAAGTACCTCTGTCATATGCTGAGGATATCATTGGTGTTGCTGGATCCAATATTGCCTATATTCGTCGTACCAGTGGGGCAATCCTTTCAATACAAGAGAGCAGAGGATTGCCTGATGAGATCACTGTGGAAATTAAGGGCACCGGTGCTCAAGTTCAGATGGCTCAACAGCTTATTCAGGTAGTTTTCTTTAATAATAAGACAGGGTAATTTTGCTACCTGCCAACATTTTTCCTCACCACTGCCCACCACACACTCCCACGCTTGCATTTACATTTGTCTGCTTTGAGTGTCCATGTGCGTGCACATTTGGACCTGGAATTTGTTCATTTCCACATTTTGGGTCTAATGTGCCCAGCATAAAATTTTGACTGTTTATGTTCAAATCATAGAAATTTCACAATTTTACCATCAGAGAGGCAGCCTTAATTGATTAGTTTCCCTATGACGTGCCTCTAATGTCTTCAATCTTCTTGTTTGCAGGAGTTCATTTCTAATCACAAGGAACCAGCGTCAAGCATGTATGGGAAGATAGATGCGGGATTAAGTGCATATTCACATATGGCAGAAACCGGCTACCCTTCATCTTCGTTTACATCACATCGAGGAGGGTATGGATCCTCAAGTATGGGAGGGTATGGATCGCCTGGTGCAGGAGGTTACAGCAATTATAGATTTTGAATGTTTGTCTGTGCAATGCCCGCATTGGATACTTGTTTCAGCATTAGTAATTTGAAAAACTTGAGCCCGTTATTCACTGTTTTTTCAGTGATAGCTATTTCAGAAATAGTGAGTTTTGATGAAAAATATCTGAAGCGATTTATTATTATCTTATTTTATTTTTTAATCCTTGGGGGTTTGGTTTTGAACCTCGGCAATTTCATATAGGTTTTCGCTCTAGTCCTTGACCACTGGATTAATGTCTCGTTTAAATGCAATTTTAATTCTGCAAAAAACCTGAGGATGATAATGCAAGGACCATACCTTGAACCACGCTAAAGCCAGCCAGAAAATGAATAATCAAAGATCGATGAATATTCAGAAGGAACCTCGGAACTTTTCCGTATTCTATGTTTCTTTGATGCCCTAAAGAATTACAGGCATAAATATTGTATGGATAAAAAGATGGTTACAAGATGAATAGTAACAAACGTGCAGAGGAGGAATGCCAACGACTGAGCTTGAGCAGCGTAAGAGTTCCTAAATGTTTCAAAGGGATGGTGCGATACGTCTGTAGACTGCTTGAAAAGTCTGCCCCCCATTCCTAGCAACCTTCTGCCCTTCTTCAGTTGCTGTCCTCAGGAGTTTCACAGCAGGATCTGTTTCGAGTTCCTCCTCTGTTAGGGCTTCAAACATGGGGTGATTCTCCAAACAAGTCTTCATCCAATCCCCAAGCTCTTCCACATCTGTAATTGAATAGATAGTGCCACCAACCTCGAGAACATATGCATACTCATCAAGTAAATGTGGACTGATCACTCGGCGACGATGATTCTTCTCTTTGAAATGAGGATCAGGAAACAGGAAAAACATCTTTGTAAGTTGCCCCTTCTCAAAATAATTAGGAATGTACTTCATCGAATTGGTCCGAACCACAGAGACATTCTGATATTGACCTGGATTTGTTGTCCTCAACGCCAAAATCCGTTCCTTCACATACTCTGTCACCTTATCCCTAAGTTCCATCCCAATCATTAAGGTCTCTGGAAAAAGTGTTGAGAGACTAATCAGCAACCCTCCAAACCCACAACCAACATCAGCAAACTGGACCTTTTTGATATTGCCAACTTCACCGGAAGAGGAAAAGAACTGAGGGTAATGAAGCGAGTAGTCAACATGACGAGGAGAAATCGGAACAGGGAAATGCGAATCACTCAATGGATTGCTATGTGCTCTTGCTCGATAAAAACGCTTCCTAGGCAAGCCAGTTGACTTACTGATTGTCGGTTTTGCCTCATTTTCTAACATGTCTGTCTCTATCCCCACCAACTGCATAAAGGAATTCTCAGCCCCAAATCAAAGAAGCTTGAAGCGCTAAGCATTTCCATTCCATTTATGAATGAAAATCTACCTTATAATAGACGCCTCTTTCTCTTACATATAACAAAAAGTTGGCTTCTTTTTCAAAATGTATGTGCCAATCATTAAAAAGATCACAAGTTTCCCCGAACCATTCAAAACCCATTTTTTAAAAATAAGAAGCAAATTCACTAACAACATTCTAATAATAAATGATCAAAATCATTAATCAAACAGACATCCATGAACTAAATATGTTTCTTTTCTTCTTTCCTTTTTTGTTCTTTTCATTACGGTAACTGAAACAAAGTACTGCAAGAGAGGTAAAGAAAGCGATGGTACCTGAGAGTCTCTAGCTAATGTTGTCTGATTGTTCTTGAAGCCTCTTCTAAATCGATAAAAATTATAAACCAGTTACAAGCTACAACTTGCCTCTCACTTCAAAGTAGGGTTTCCAGTGTTTATTTTTGTGACCTGAAGCTCGAGCCCATTTCAAGAAGCAAATGTTGGAAATTGAAAGCTGGACTTGGCCCATCTGTTTTATATATTCGTTGACGAGCTAAAAGAAATGTTTTTGGCCTTTAGGCTAGGTTGTCGGCCTAATTCTGTACGAGGCCCATGAGTATCTCTTGCAAGAAGGTTACTTGTGTATGATTTTCTCCCCTGGCTTATAATTCATGTCCCTAGAAGGCTAGGACTCTTTTCAAATAAGTGGATCGTTCAGCATTATAAAATGACAAAGCAATATGTTAATATTCACACCTTCTATAATTTTGTAATATTATCAATCCACGAAGTAGTTGATCAGTAATGTTATTCTAAGAAATTAAACTATATAAATCAGTATTATCAATAAATAAAATCAAGACATGGATAATGTAATGTCCTCTCACAAATGTAGTTAAATAATGCAATTTGTTTAGCGCTCCTAGCTTGCTCAAAACAAGTACATGTTGCTTCATTCTTGGTTAACTCAAGGGAAGATGCTCAAGTAACCCTAGAAGAAATTTAACTCCTTCAAAATCATCAATCAACCCCATAAAACTTTCTGACCTTACACTAGTAATTTCTCACTGCTCCCTAAATCTCGAGAGCACGAAGTCTAAGAAATTTATGTGCATGGACTCTTCCAACCTAACATATCTCATGAGCATACTTTATATATAGGAATAGGAGGGGGTTAAGGGTGGTGCCTCTTAGCAAGAAATGAAGGAAAATGGGAAACCCATACGAAAACTACATGGACTACCTTTCGTAGAGAGTAAGTTGTAGAATTGTTGTAACAAGGACAAGAACGTACACCTTTCATCTTTATAACTTCTTCTGTATAGACATGCACCTACCTTTTTGAATATCTTGCACCCTCATTTGGAAACAAAATTATCCCATCGTTGCTCTTCTTGATTAATCCTTTTCCTGCAGCACTTAACCCTAATTTTTATGCTTATAAAAGTTGTTCCATTACTGTATTTTCAGCAACAATGCATCGGGAATGACGTAACGATGAGCTGGTTAAATAATTCTTCTTTATATTTGCTTTGAAGTGTTTGACAAGTAGCATACCAAGCATGAATCTTCAACCAGATTAGGGTTTTTATTGTTCTAAAGAGTCTTCATTACAAGTGCATGTCAACCACTTCACCATTAAATCTATGAAGTCCTCGTCGTAGATTATTTTGAAATATAATTCAATGAAAGAAATGAGGACGTGTATTCATCTTGTTTGCTCAATCAAACACGAAATCCTTAATAATAATTCACAATAACAAAATGATTTTGAACTTGACATCATCAAGTGATCATATTGATTTTGCATGGCTTCTGTATTCATATGAATGTAATACTCTCTATCTGAAGAAAAAGTCAATTCCTCGGCCAAATCACGTATATATGATATATATTGCCTTAACTATAGAAAGCTGAACCCTATAAAGCATTCACTTCACTTTATACATTTTCTAATTAGCACGGACAGCATTAAATTTTAAACAAACCAATATAGGATTTATTGTAGTTTTTTATTTTTATTTTTTTTCATATCTTATTGTGCAAGTTTTTTTTATCTTCTTTTTATTGCTATTGTTTAAATAGTCATGCTTTTAATAAAATCAACTATTATAAAAAAAATAAAAAATAAAAAGAACTTCAGTATATATAGTGGATTTTCAGGGGAGTTCATGGCTCCACTAGCGCACCCCTAGTTTTGTGCGTGCATGGTTTAGAGTATTAATATATCCTGTGAGCATTATTGAAACTCAAGTTTTGAAAAACAAGTTCTCATTGATAGACAGACGAGGATATAATCATAATGCAAAAAAAAAAAAAACCTATATATATATATATAGTTGTTAGCCTTTTCTTTTAGATTCTTGTATCATTAGTAACTTAGTTTATATAAATCACCAAATTAACAAGTGGTTTTCAGTGGCATTGGAACCGGAAAGGAATTTTTGCAATCAATTAGAAGTGGAAAACAAGTGGCCTGGCTAGAAATCTTCGATCCATGCCTAGCTAGGTGATGATCTTGTTTGATCAATCCTCAATATTTTTATTTAGTAGCTAGCCTATATATCATCAATCTTCAGTCTTCAATTATACTTCGTGTCTGCTTGATTCGTTATATTGACAAAATCAAAAGAAACTAACCCAATGTCAGGAGATGTGAACACAAGTACTTATTGCATCATACACAAGAAAATATCTAACCTATTAGTGATTGGCTTAGCTTAATTTAGAGTCCGTTTGACATCATTTTTGGATTTTGATCTTTGACCTTAAGTTCTTTGAGAAAAATAAGTTATGATCACTCTAAGTTAAGAACATATTTGGTAAAAACAGTCCAAGTCAAATAATACAAGTTCGAATAAATAAACTAAAAGTTAAGAATTTTGACTTTTATTTCAAATGAGATTTTTACTCAATTTTGTAACAAAGTTTTGGTTTAAATTAAAATTTGTTTTTAACTAAAATATTTATTTGAATATCAAGTTAAGAAAATACATAAATTAATTTGCAAAAATCATACCAAACAAAACCTTACTCAATCTAACACGTAATTAGTAGGATTTATTGATTGGAGTACGGTATTTTCCAAGTAAATCTATTTTTTTTAATAATAATCAAGGCAGAATATTATTAAGATTTAGCTAATGTCATTAAAAAAATTCATGGCAAACTAACTAAAAACAACTCACCGTGTAAAAAGCAAAAAGAAAAAAAAATGATAATCATGAGTATTAGACTACTTCAACATACAATCTGAACATATAACTAAATCAATACTTGTATAAATAAAATTCTAAAATCTAATTCAGAACTAAATAATAAGAAGTTAAATCATAAAGTATATCTCAATTAAGATCAATAACATCAAAAATTAATTTGTTAGGGGTGATCTAAATAGACTACAAGATACCACAGCAAGGCTTACGTATTATATTTCATGGCTTTGCAATGAAATTTCTCATGTGACAAATTAATGATTTCATTCATGTAAAAAAAAAAAAAGCTGAACAATCTTCTGCATACACCCATCATTTCCAATTCATTGCATAAAATGATTGGGATGTCAACTTACATTAATTTTTAACCAAAGTAAATCTGCAATAATATTACTGCTAAGATGCATGGGTAAACTTACGTCTTCCTCAAGCAGTGAATAATGAAGGCGGTAATTAATGCAAAATGGGCATAGATGATGGACTCAAAGGAAGCTTCCTCACCCCTTCCACGCATGGTTTAAGTTGCTTGACCACTGTATTTTCACAATATTGAGCACGCACCCTCACTGTGACATCGTATACTAATAATTGAACAATTTCTTGCATCTACGTACATTACAATTCGAGGACCAATTAATCTCTAAGCATGCATCTCAATATTCAATCATGCATTTTCCCTCTTGGTCTCCTAATTAATTCACCATATGCTGTTTGTTTGCGAGGATTAGGTTCAGGTTCGGCAACTTGATGAAGACCTTATTAAAATTATATGGTTGAAGTATTGAGCAAGTAAACAAAAGATCGTGATAGATGTTTACTACTAAGATTGATCAATTTTGCATATATAAGACTTAGGGCTCAATAATTCAAAGTTAATTAAGCCTCTCAATCTTTCCAAAATCATAACTAACCTAACTTTATGATCACCAGTGAATTACAAAAAGCTTATAATCTTAACAATTTTCCGACAAGCTACACAATAACACGTAAAGTAAATCAATTGCCTCCGGACTGAATTAGTTATTTAACATCCTTTGTTAGTAATTTTGAGAAATTAATGTCATCCACATGCATTTGAGATGCAAGAGTGTATTTACCTAATTTAAACTAAGGTTATTAAACCTGGGCCTCATTTAGATCTACGCTCGATTCACGGGTTGAGTGAACTAATCTTAGTCAATCCCAAACGATATCATTTAAAGATTTTTTAAGAAAAAAATAAAAATAATATTATTTTGATTTTTATTTAATTTAAACTAGGTTTTTACCGAGTCGACTAAGTCATTGATTGTGGAATCAAAATTAAAATATGACTCACATCAAATTTCATGTTAACAAGTCATTCAGTTGTCTCGCTAAGTCAAGTCGTATTTAGTGTGTATCTGGTAGTATGGTGCATAATATTTTTACAAAAGTGTTTTTAAGTTGAAAATACAATAAAATTATGTTTATTTAAATTTTTTATTTTTAACACCATCACATTAAAATTATAAAAAAGTACACGTAAAAAACATTAATTTAGTACTATTTTTTCTGAAAAATGTAATTGAAAAGGCGGGTTCAATCATAAGAACAAAAACTAATCTTGATAACACCACTAGAACTATGAATATTAATCTATTTGTTTTTTATTATGGGCCGAAGATTTCATCAGAAGAGAAATTAAGGGTTTCGATACCATTACGAACACGTTTATGCTGATGGAAAGAACACTAACCAAAAATTTAGAACACGAAGCCAAAAATTTCCAAACTGAGAAAGGTTAGGCTATAGCATCTAGATTAAGAATTGCAAATGGAGCATGATTTGAAAGTAGCCAATTTGGAGGTATCGTCTTGATGAGATAAAACATATATAGATTTGCTTGTTATAGAGATTCAAAATAGAGTTAAATTAGCACACTTCGAAGGGGTTTTTCTACTTATACGACAGGTGATGTTGAGCTAGTTTTTTATTTTCCAGATTGTTTTAGCGCCTTACCACACAGTACCACAGAAAATTGAGCATCAATGATTCGGCTTCCTTTTCTTATATCAGGTAAATACATCGATAAATCCCAGGGTTTTTTCTTTTTCCTTTTGTTTGAGGAATGAAGTGTCCTGTCTAGCTAGTATAAATTTATGGTCATACAAGAAAATACCAAAACGAAGACGTTCCAATCGAAGAAGCCTTATGTACATGGAAAGAAAGAACAAGAGATCATGCATCAGCATTAGTCTTCTCTTTGGCTTCAAGAATCCCTGTTAGTTC